AGTATAATAAATGGACTTCGATTATATATTGATGGAATTTATTTTGATAGTACTGGTAGTTTTCCATTTGAAGCTTCTGGTTCAATAATATATTTACAAATAGGATTTAGTCGTTGGTGCATATCTTATAGCATTCCAAATGCTGGTTATCAAGGTTTAGTTGATGAAGTATATGTGCATAGTCGAGAATTAACTCAAAGTGAAATTAATATTTTAGCAAATCCATAAACTTTTCTTCGATCGAAGAATGTTTTAACAATTTTTCTTAAAATAATTTTTTTAATGTCTTATGCTTTCATTGATTTATTCATATATATTGTCAAGATTATATTTTTTTGCAAACAACTTAATATCGCAAGAAAGAAGATTATTTCTATTATTTGTTTGAATATTGAGATTTGATAATTCGAGAATGGGTGTGGGTCTCGTATTCGTTTCATGAGATCATACACATCCACATTCACGAAGTATTTGGGGTCGAACCCCTAGTTTTTGCCCGATGATCCCAGTTGAAAATAGTACCATTTGATGCAGAATTAAATTCTATGTCTAACCCAAACAAGTGCAGATTCAACCCAAGTGTTGAAGCGAATGTCAGCAGGAAAAACTCGAATCCGCTGCTAACTTTCCTTAGGTTACTTTCTCCTGAAAAAAAAAGAACGCCAAGCAGATATACTTACTGTAATATTAAAGAAGTAGAAGCTAAACTTAGTATCGAATGTTTTACTTTCAAATGAGTATTTCGTTTAAAAGACGAACAAAGTTGTTTTGTTTTGATTATCATAAAGATTTTATACAATCATTTTGGATCAAATGCAATAAATTGATTAAAGAGCCACAATATCGATAGAAACAAACTCTCGTTTTCAAAGGGTTAGCTATTAACTAATGCTAATAAAAAAACCTAGTCAGCACTGTTTCTCTGCGGCTAAACGGTGGAATTCACAGGAGGTTTTTAGGCTTCTATACTAATACGAAATACCTAAAATGAAAAATCTCCAACACACTACAGCTGTTTTCCAAGGATAATCGATCGCGAAAGAAACGATCCTCCTTATTTCTTCATTTCAAACAGAATTATTTTCTCTTGGCGCTCTATTGTGGATTTGTCTTGTTGCTATTCGTTCATTACTTTCCTTCTTCGAAAACCACTTTTCTTTATTTAACATTATTAGTGGTGTGCATGTGTCAGTGGTGTGAAGAGTGGGTACGGGTCTTACTGTGAGTTAGGAGAAAACGGACATCTACACATCCAGACTCATACTCTAAAGGTTCTACTTGCCATGAAATTAAAAAAAGTGTTAAAAACACTTCTAAAATCTTGGAAGAGAATGGAACGGTTATACGTAAAACAAACTTTCTGAACTCATCTAAAGTAGTGTAAATTAGGTTTTCCTTCATGGTTGTTTGGAAAATTCGAAAAAAGTTTTGAAGACGAAAGATCGCTCCCTTTGTCGCTTCAAATCTGCCATTCTCCTGAGTGACTCCTAGTAAAGACTAAAGAATTGCAAAAGTGAACCACTAACACCATTTTCGTCCTCTCGTCAATGTTTGAAAAGTTTTTTCGAGCCTCCACTTAATTGTTTTTACTCCGCTGCCTATTCATTAGATGAATGATCAAACTCTGTTATTTCACTCGACCTTATTTTCGTCTCTCTTCGAAAACTTTCTTCTTATAGGTTTTTTTTTTCTCTTTTCCCATAAGTATCTATGTAAGCAAAGCACTGCCCAAGCAGACAAACTTTTGAGAAAACGCGTTTAAACGCGTTTTCTCAAAAGTTTATCTGCTTGGGTGCTCCTGATTAAAAAGAGACAACTATACGTAAAAATGAAAATATTTAAATAGAAACAAATGTGAAAACCAATATAGTGATAATGCTATTTTAAATTAAGGGACACTGACCTGTAGAAAACACATATGACTTGACAACCGTTGTTCAAATGGTACAAAACACTTATTTGTGAACCTATTCTAAAATCAAAAGACATTTATAGCATTGAAGAGACAAGTATATTTGAAGGAAAATAATAAGTCAGAAAGTGTCTTTTGTTGGTATTTGCCATTTTTAGATACTAGAATACAGATAAATTGATTACAACCATTGAAATATTCCTAAATCATGCTTGAACAGACCTTATATCTTCAACACGAAACAGCGAAGAGAACATATGTCAAGGTCTCCGACTGAAGAAAATTTATTTGATCGAATGTCTTACATACAATTCAGTTGAGTCAATTTCTTCTAATGATTTGGAAGGAATGTATGAGCTCTATTCACGTATAGATTACGGACCTAGATTATGAATCAATAACCTTGTGTTATAATGCCATCGATTGGTTCTAAACAAGGTGTGACCAACTGTCTATAAGAAACAACGTACTGACAAAATATGGAAAAAACTTGCCAAGAAAAATGCTAGGAAGGAAAAATTGTATATACTTCGTCTTGTGTCTCAATGCTTCAGCTTCTGTTATATTCGTATCCTTATTCTACATTTGCAACATATGAATTCGCATCATGATCCAACTAACTAACTAGTACAATGAAAATAATGAGCTTTCTGAGATTTTTCATGAAAGATTGATCGCAGTTACCAAACAAGCGGGTATTCTAGAATCTGAATACGATGCTCTGAAAAACACAATACCTTATGTCAAGTGAAGCCACTATCAAGAGATGCCACTACCTGCCTTGGGCGTGAAACATGGCAATTCAAAATTTTTCAGAATGGAGTTCGAAATGAACCAGACTATCCTGCAACAGTGTGGAAGCTGTCCAACGCTTTGTCACAGAGGCAAAATACTGGATATTTTCACTAATCAGAAGGCTTCATATTAACTGAGAAGTTGAAATAAGATTTAAAGATTTATCAATATTGCAATTTGTAGTTATTTCATTAGATAGACTGATTTTTTGTGCTTTTTCCTTCTAATCAGTGTTATTTTAGATTTCCTTCTCTCGTAATATTGATCTGAGATCTATTGAAAAAAGACCAGCTCGAAAACGTCGTCGTTTTCAATACGACAACAAACCTTGAGAGCTTGTTATTCAGCTAGAATCCAGCGAGAAATAATCCCATGTCGTCTTTTTTTTCGAAAACCGACGGTTACCGGCAGTTTTGAAAAAAACCACCGGTAAACCGACGGTGTTGTTTAGCTATTTTTACCAAGTATAGTTTATGAAAAGTACTAGGAGAAACAGCTAAAATACGATTTATTTTTTACTTTTTTGATTCAAAGTTGATAAAATAACAACATCAGCTCTTTCTCCCTGCGAAAAAACTTAATGAAAACGTTTCATAAAGCAAAAATTTATTGTTTACCACAGAGGAGATTTCTCGGACTTTTTCCAATAAACGCATAGCTTTTACAATTAACATAATTAATATTCACGCGAAAACAAAGGTGTAAACTATTTTTTCTTATTTAGATTTGATCCAACTGCAAATCAAAATGTGAGTATGATTTTTTAAACAATAAAATACTTTTTTTATTTAGATTCGGTTCAACATATGCCGTGTAAAAAAAGGTTATAAGAAAAGATTAAAAATCAGATTAAAAATGGATTCTATAATGGCACTATTATAATCTGGCTTTAACCGGATTTTCAGCCTTAAAAGACAGATTTCATTTGATTTAATCTTTTTTAATCTATTTCAATCGATTAAAGAAATTTAATCAATTAAAATCGATTTTTTATAATCAGTGACAATTGATTTAATTTTGATAATTGATTAAAATAGATTAAAAAAAATAAATCAAATGAAATCTGTCTTTTAAGACTGAAAAATCAGATTCTAATCAGATTATAATAGTGCCATTATATAATCGATTTTTAATCTTTTCTTATAACTTATTTTTTTAATATTGGTAATGAAAATGTAACTATGAATTTTAAAATAATAAAATTATTTTATTTATTTAGATTTGGTGCACCTAGGAGTGGAACAAGTCCATTTTATCTGCATAAAGTTTGTAAATTTTGGTGCGAA